CACCGCGACTTCTCCGCTTAGACAGAAGCTGGGGGGTCGGGGTCTGTAAATCACGAGGGGGGCGGATAAAGAAAAGTTCTTCATTAGGTCCCATGACGGAAGGGCCTTGCCAGAGGAGGTTGTGAAGGCTAGGACTATAACAGAGTTTAAAGAGAAGCTAGATAATTTCATGGAGGTTAGGACCATAAAAGGCTATTAGCCAGGGTGTAGAAATGGTATCCCTGGCCTCTGTTTGTCAGAGGCTGGAGAAGGATGGCAGGAGACAAATCGCTAGATCATCGTCTTTGGTCCATCCTCCCTGGGGCACCTGGTGCTGGCCACTGTTGGCAGACAGGCTACTGGGCTAGATGGACCTTTGGTCTGACCCAGTATGGCTGTTCTTATGGCTGCTTCTGGCGCTAAAATCACACGGAGCATTCCCTTCCCCAAGTGCTGGCCTGCCTCCAAGGGACTGGGTGCGATTCCCGAGCAGTAGCATTGACTTCTCCTGAGCTGATATAGCCTGTGAGGATCAGAGCGCGGACCAAGCTGAGAATGCCGGTTGGTCTGGTGGTGCGCTCTCTGAAGGGATGAACTGATTGCACTTGGGGGAGAGGGGAACTCTAGTTTTCTGTGGACTCCTCGCTGAAATCTGATTTTGATTCTTGTGTGGTTTGGTACCAGTAAGAGGCAAGGAATGGGATAGGTGTGGGCTTGGCAGCATAACATTCAGATTGGTAGGCATCAACTGCTCTCTTTTTTCCCTTCTCTAAGGTGAGCCGTTCTCCAACCCTCTGGCCCCAGATGGCCATGAGGTGGACGATTCCCACTCCTTCCATCAGTGAGTATAAAAGCTCTTTCTCTCTGTAGAGTGTGCTGTGGGAAGGAAAGATTTGGATACTGTTTCTGTGGTGCAGTCCGTCTCTTAGCACCCCAGAAACAGTTCATGCTCATCTAGTTTGACAGGCTGCATGACGCAGATAATCGATTTCGCCAGTGTGCCTAAGCCCAGTCACTTGTACCTAAACAAGGCATCACTTTAGAGAGTGCTCTGGCCTTGATTTAAAGACCCCAAGTGATGGAGAACATACCGCATCCCTTGGTAAGTCAGCCTCCCTGTTTGAAAATGTGCGTCTGATTTCCAGTTTGAATGCTGTGAAACTCCAGTGAATACGGGCAATCCAGTGCAGGCTGTAATGTCGCAATCTGGCCAGGCACCTGTGGGGAAAACCAGACAAATGTGCTCTCTGCAGGAGTGTGTGATGGTCTCGTTATTGTTACAGTGAAACACGATTCTTCCTCCTGCTAGGTCCAAGCTGACAAATGAAGATTTCCGAAAGCTTCTTATGACCCCACGGGCGACGCCAACATCTGCGCCGCCCTCCAAATCTCGCCATCATGAGTAAGTAGATTTCATGAATCTTTCACTGCTCTTGGACTGAACATGAGCTCCTCATTCTCAATCAGCTAGTGTACGTCTGACTCTCTTCCTCGCTCTCCGGTACCGACCTACTTGCTTTCTATGTTGTATGTACATTGCGGGTGGGGAAACCATAAAATCAGGAACACCGCGAATGAGAGCTTGGAAGTAATAGACTTACTGAAACCTGCATGGGAACCCCGAGGACTCTCATGTTGAGTCCTTCCACTTTCCCCCTCACTGTTGGTACAACTGAGTTAGGTGTAGATGTAGCTTTGGACACTAAGCGATTGACCTCTGAGGCCCAGATCCTGTGATTGCCGCCTCTAGTGCCTCTTGCTCCTGTTTTGTGGGTGTTGGCCGTTCGTGGTGACTGTGGTTTTTCTGTTTTCGTCAGGATGCCCCGGGAGTACAACGAAGATGAAGATCCAGCGGCTCGCAGGAGGAAGAGTGCTGTGTTGTATCAGAAGCCTCCTTCACCTGCCTGTCAGCCGCCGCTTTCTTTAGAATGCGGAAAGGGACCATAAGTGGCCTGGAATATCCGTGGGCTCTGGGCTGACAGGAAAGGACGCCCGTGATGTTAGAAGCATTCTATTAGGGGCGTTGTCGTTTTCACAGCCACCCCAGTGGCTGCACTAGGGGAGCAGTAGGATGCTACCACAGATAACTTAGCTTGCCCTTAGGAGGAGTGACGTGGCTGCTTTTTGTGGGGGTGTTAGGACAATGTGGGAGCGCTTACCCCATTCGGTATTTCCCTTCAAGTATTGAACTCATGGTGCATTTACGCCAGTGGTGGGCACCTGCGGCCAACTGGAGCTCCACCTGCAGCCCGCAGACCCCACACACCTCTCGAGCACTGGGGCACTGGAGCCCCACACTTCCTCCTCCTCCTACTCCCTCCTAGCGCTTTTGGAGCACCATGAATCTGCTGATTCGCCCTCTGTCCCCTCCCTCCCAGAGCTAGAACATCACACATCAGCTGTTTGCAGCTGTTGGTGTTGCCTGGCCAGTATTTTATAAGCACAACCCTGTGTCTGCCCCCAGCTACTATGCAAAGCTGCGTCAGCAGGAGATTGAGCGCGAGAGGGAGCTGGCTGAGAAATACAGGGATCGAGCCAAGGAGCGACGAGACGGAGTCAACAAAGACTATGAGGAAACAGAGCTGATTAGCACGACGGCCAACTACAGGGCAGTGGGCCCCACTGCAGAAGCGTAAGTGAGCGTGTGTCCGGGCAGTGGCCAGGGAGCTCCGGCCCAGAGAGGAGCTTGAGTAACATGCTCCCTCCTCGTTGCACAGGGATAAGTCGGCAGCTGAGAAGAGGCGGCAGCTGATCCAGGAGTCCAAGTTCTTGGGTGGTGACATGGAGCACACTCACTTGGTGAAGGGTCTGGATTTTGCGCTGCTGCAGAAGGTGAGTGCAGGCACGACGTCAGTAGGGCTTTGCTTCTCTGCAGCAGCGTCCTCGTCAGCACGTTTCCCCTCCCGTCTGTCTTGTTCTGAGCAGGTGCGTGCTGAGATTGCCAGCAAAGAGAAGGAGGAGGAAGAGCTGATGGAGAAGCCCCAGAATGAAACCAAGTGAGTAAGAAGGCCGAGCCCTCCTCTGAGTGCAACGTAGCTGC